AGACAATCTATGCAAGCCAAGAGAAACACAGCTGCAGCAAACTGTCTCCTTTGTGTCTTTTCCTGTCTCCTTTCTGCTGCTGCTGCTATCGACTAACAGCTAGCTACACACAGCAGCAGCAGCTAGCTACACACAGCAGCAGCAGCTAGCTACACGCAGCAGCAGCTAGCTGCATGCAGCAGCAGCTAGCTGCATGCAGCAGCTAGCTAGATGCAGCAGAGCAATAGAGAAGAGTTTTTGGTTTTTGTTTGTTGCAGCAGCAGCGGCAGCAACAGCAGCAGCAGCAGCAACGACAGCAGCAGCAACAACAGCACCACCACCAGCAGCAGCAACAGAAGCAACAACAGCAGCAGCAGCAGCAGCAGCAGCAGCAACAGCAGCAGCAAGACAGTTTAAAAGGGAGACAGAAGAAGCAGCAAAAGAGAGACAAACAAACAAATTTTTCTTTATAAACAACTGTCTCCTCCTTGCTGCTGCAGTAAACCCTAAACCCTAAACCCTAAACCCTAAACCCTAAACGCAAACAGAAACGCTGCTTCCTGCTGCTGCTGCTGCTGCTGCTGTTGCTGCTGCTGCTGCTGTTGCTGCTGCTGTTGTATCTTTGGGTGCTGTGTAGCAGCAACTCTTATAAACCCTCCGTCTCAATCCTAAACCCTAAACCCTAAACCCTAAACCCTAAACCCTAAACCCTTCTTTAGCTGTTCCTGCTGTACCGACAGCATCAGCTGCAGCTCTCTTTGTTTGTCTCCTTTTTATTTATTTTTTTTGTTTTTTTATATTTTATTGTTTTTGCGTTTCTTCTTATTATATTTTATTATTTCTGTTTATTTTATTTATTTTTATTTATTTTTATTTGTTTGTCTCCCTTTCTCTCTTCTGCGTGTGTAGCTGTCTCCTTTTTATCTGTCTCCTTTTTTTCTGTCTCTGTTTATCCTTTTCTCTGTCTCTATTTTCTTTTTATTTGTCTCCTTTACCTTACACATAGAAAACAGCAACCAGCAACAGCAGCAGCAACAGGAGCAGCAGCAGCAGCAGCAGCAGCTGCTGCTGCTGCTGCTGCTGCTTCTGCCATAGCAGGCGCCCTCGGGGTGTACAGACACCTGAAACAACCTAAACCCTAAACCCTAAACCCTAAACTCTAAACCCTAAACCCTAAACCCTAAAGAGCCGTGGTGTGGGTTACTTGTCCCTACGTCCGGTCCCCTAGCGCTACACTGTAGTTTAGTTGCTGCTGCTGCAGCAGTTGAGTTGCTGCTGCAGCAGCAGTTTAGTTGCTGCTGCTGCAGCAGCTGTTTAGATGCTGCTGCTGCAGCAGCTTCGTTGTTGCTGCCGATGCAGCAGTTCATCAGCAGCAGCAGTTGTATAGTTGATGGTGCTGCAGCAGCACTTGCTGCTGCTGCTGCTGCTGCTGCTGCTGCTGCAGCTCAGTTGTTGCTGCAGCAGCAGCAGCAACTTACTCGTCGCAGCAGCAGCAGCAGTTTAGGTGTTGCTGCAGCAGCTGCTGCTACGATAGAGTGGTTGTTTATTTTGTTTTTGTTTGTTTTTATTTTATTTATTTTGGTGATAGTATAAACCCCCAGCAGCAGCAGCTCGCTGGGGTGTATGCGCACATCGGTGGTTGCTGCTGCGGCGGTGCGGCTCTGTCGGGGGTGTTTTGTGCTGCAGCAGCAAAAATAAATGCAGAAAAAACCTATAAATATAATTATTTATTTATTTATTTAAATTAAAATGTAAAAAAAAAAAGAAAACACACAACGGCTCGCTCGCTACGCCCACCGACAGCAGC